ATGCGCGACCGGATTGAAGGATTTGTATAGTCACTTTCATCTTGAGTTCTTGTCGAGTTGAGTGAGTCGGTAATTGAGGATTTAAGACGCGTTTCAAATCTGTCGGTGGGCCGGGTCGTTAACTGGTCGGAAGGCCCGAGCATCGTCTGGTGTTGGACACATCACATGTCCAGCAGGGTGTCACAGCTCACTGGGACGTGACACACCACACCAGTTCCCACTGAGAGTACAAGTTACAACAAGGGGAAATTTTGTGCAAATTTAATCCACTCCATTCATTGCAAGTCCTCCAATGTATTTATCCACCCTACATAAAAGGCTTTTCTAAGCTTATTGACATAGCCTCTCAAGCATGCAGCCAAATTTCTTTGATCATGAGATGTTCCTGTACATAGAAGAGAGACTGCAAACACACTTCATTATTCATTGGAGAAGCCCAATGTAGATCAGCCGTGAAGAATGAAACCAAGGCACTTAATATGCAACTCACATCTACAAGACACATTTTGTACACTCCATCACCCCCAGATATCACTTGTTATGTAGGAGCTGAATTCTTATGCACTGAGCAAAGATGAGTTGGTATTCAGTAACTGAGGCTTAAATGGTAGTGTCAGTAGTGATGCATTGATAATTTAATTTTCCTCAGTATCACATTGCAAGACACCTTTCCAGACATGCAAATAAATCACAAATTCAAAATCACATTTTGTTCATCCTAAGTGATCCTGACAATACATATTGTGGTTTCGAAATCATATCATTGACTGAATATGCCCAAGACCGGACATTTTTATATAGTGTGGGCCATGACTTTGAGTCATCAGGTCATCTTACCGGTCAAGTTTGTTCACAAAATATTGACTTGAATGTGTATATAGAAAGGTGCGAATTAACCTTCGGTTTCTGCTGTACTTGGTTCGTCTTCTTTGGGAAATTGGGACAGATCAAATTCTTCGGCATCCGCGTCGATCAATGAGTTGTCCGGTGTAATTAGTGCTTGGTTGGATTCAAAGAGTTGTCGTCCTTAATTCGTCGTTGAGAATATCGAATTGGGGAGACACACATCCATGTTTTCAGGATGAAGATCTTTTTTTTTTTTTGGGGGGGGGGGTTGAGCAAAGTGCACGAGACTGACCTGTCAGCTTATTTCCAGATTTCTTCCTTTCTTCTCTCTCTTTCGGTGTCAGAGACTTGTATCTTTCTTCCTCCTCTTTCGCCTTTTTGAGCTGGTTCTGTTCATGAAATTTGGCCCTCCAGATTGAAAATGTTTCTTTGTTGATTGGTGTACCTTTCTTACGAGCAGCCTCTGCCTAGAAAATCATGACAGTACAGTTAAATCGTTTTGGTCAGGATAAAAGACGATTAGAATTCAGTCAAGTATAAACCATTAGATAACTGAACACATACTTCCTCGGCTTGTTTGATCTCCTCCTTTTCCAAGCGCACTACCTCAGCAGCCCGATCCGACAGAATTCGGGCGAGTTCTTGTTGCAGGGCAAGCGAAAGAGTGAAGATCATAGCCATTCCGAGTGATTCGCGACCCTACTTAGAATCAGTTTAGTGTAAGTTTGTCGGTTGTCAGATCGGATCAAGACGATAGACATCTTCCATCGAACATGAAACAAAGACTGACTGCTTCCTTGAGCTTTTCGATCGTGGATTCTACTTCTAGTTCGCTGAGTTCACCTTCAACGGGCTCGATTTCGATATCCGGCAATTCATCCGGGTATTTCTCGGTGTATTTGATTTTCAGGTTCACGGTGACTAATTCGGCAGGCGATCAAATGAATCCAACTATCAGTGGTTTTTTCCCATTTCGCTTGGGAGAGATATTGGCCTAGACGGACGAGGATTGGAGGGTGAGGGCTCCTCAGGCTCGGTCCTTAGTATCACCTGCTCATCGGATTCGACTGGATTTCCTCGCAGGAATTGCAGACGTCCCGCACAGAAGTTGGAAAAAAACTTCAACGTTAGTACAAAGGCCTGGAGAGATCGAGAAACAAGTCATCTTTCTTACAGGACAAGTCTTCAAAGATTGATTGAAGTACTTCGATTTCCTCTTTCCGCTGTTCGAGGTATTGATCTGCGAGATTCGACGCAAGTTTACAAGGGAAAGGACAATGATACAACCGGTGTATGAGCTTGTGGTTCGACCTGGATGATGTTTAGTTGTTGATGATGCTCACCTGACATGGGATGACGAACAACTTATGATCAAGTTGTTGAGGTAGGAATTGCTGTGGTTGAAGTTTCGGAACAAGTTCATGCGGATTTTGGTAGCCGGAGCACCAACCAGTGAGTTTTAAAAGGTGTCAACTACAAATATAAATGTCTCAATCTCCACATCTCATTCATAAACTATCAAGCCATCATGACATTACTGGACTTCAAGCTTGCCCATACATACCCAAAAAATGCTCATATTCAACTACAACGCCAGGACTTGCTTGATTTGATCTGGGTTTACTAGACATTGATACTTCCACACACTCCCATCCACCTATCTTCTTATCAATGAAATTTGTAAAGAATAAAATACAATATACATTACCAGCAGAGCAAATACCCAGGCACTCCAATTGTAAGTACTGATTCTTCTGAGTCAAAACAAATTGATCAGAAGTGATACCTTGTGGACAATCACCTCCAGCAGGATTGTCTTGCATATAATTCATGGATAAATTGGATAGCTGCAATTAGGCTCAATGTATTGAATCTGGTTGATTGTGTGGCACTGACATGGAATGTGGATTTATTAGAGTAATTAATTCATAAAACCCTGTGAATTTTACAAATTTGGTTTAATCTTGCTAGAAGATATGGGGAGTGTCACAGCTAAGTAGGGCAATTACTGAAAATTGAATTGGAATAAAGCACTCAAAGGATGCAAAAAGCTAACATTTATTCCTGCCAAGTCAGAATGCAATAACTGAATAGAATAAAACGAAAGGAAACAGTGTGAATACTTACGCACAGAACTTAGAAGCGACAATTCCTGACCTAGCTAAAGATAAATCATTTGATAGAACTAATGAGAGCCAATTTCTAAGGATATTGGGAGTTGAATAGAATCGGAGCTGATTGTGACACTGGTGGTTACTGAACAACCTTCAATTATCACCAATTTGAAATTTTCATCAGAAATTCAGGAGATGTCACTAGAAATTGGGGGTTTAGTTTTGAGTTATTGGAGGACTTCCCGTCAACATCTGCGGGTCTCCCAGAGCCGGTTTAGAGCCTCAAAATTCAAATTTCTCTGCAAGAATTAAGAGTTTTTGGGTCTAGATTGACTTCTGTGAGGGTACCAGATCTGATGGGAAGTCCTCCTTTTATTGAGATGAATGGGATGCAAAGAATTAAGGATAAGAGGCAAACAGGAGAGGGGATATGAATTCTTTCCCAAATAGATTGAGGGATGAATCATATTATAGGGGTATTGAAACCAGTGTGATTTAAAAAATAATTGATCTCTGGATGAGATTAGGTTTGATTGGTAGGTCTGATTTTGTCATGATTTGTATTGCACAGCACAATTGATCAAATGAGATTCACAAGGGAATCACTGACTGATGACTCAACAAGAGTCAAGAGTTGCAAAGATAGATGACTATAGTGCTATCAATGAAGAGATATATGTACATATGTAAGCCATTTTTAACCAATTGTGATATATTAACATCAAAAGATGGAGGATTTTCCACGGTGATCCCCCCAATTTATTTGACCACACTAGTCATGCATCAACCTGAAAAAATCTAGTGAAAAAAGACATCACTTTTGGGCTAGCTCCCTCACAGGGACAATGTAGATGCGTTGTTGTAGCTTGGGAATACCACCACAGCTTGGGCAGAGCAGCTCCATTTTTTTCTGAAAATCACCTGAGTTCAAGTGTTAGTTTATTTTCCCCAATTCACTGAGAAATATGATTCAAATTCTAATCTGTAATTTGAAACTTAAAAACTTCAAGCTCAGTAGGAGTACTTATGAATGAATCCCAAACCATTGATTTGTAATCTTCAAACAAGTTGAAACTTGGTACAATCATGATGCAATTTTTTTTGAGAATTTTGATAGCCTATAAAAATGCTGTGAGTTTTACAGACAATTAAGTCTGCTATGTATTTTGCTGACAGAAATCTATTGCCCCCCCCCATACATGAATAATTGAATGGTGTACCCATTCAAGCTGTGGACTCGAAACACACTTGCTTGGGCCTTGACAAGTGGAACTTTCTCACTGGCCCTACCGGATAATGTCTAGGCCTCAAAGGATTTCCTCATTTCAGTCTCAGGTTTGTTGTGAGTGTTTCCTCTTCTTCTTTTCAAACAAGCTTCAAAGAAGTATCGATAGAATGACTTTATTCTCTATGTTGAAGTCATGATTGCAAAGATTTTTCCAAGTCTGAAGAAATGGCAAAAATGATTGTTGAGTGTAGGGAGTTGGGTCAAACATTTCATAGCAGTCAAAACCCGGATACAAGCAAGGCACGGCCACACTGTTTTGGGAACACGTCGAGCCCGGTTTCCTAAGAAGCAGCTGCCATGGGACCTTTCCTGAGCTTCCTGCCATTGCCGTCGCTAGTTACTGTTCGCAAGTTGGAACACAGCTTATCCGCAATCAACCAACAAATATCCTGCAAATTCAATCCGCCCCCTCAACAGTTCTGCAGACCGTTTGGGCTGCTTGCCAACTTGCCAAGTTCTGTTTTGAAATGTGTTGGTGTTTGCTCACTTGGTCACCTTGGATTCGTGTTAAAGCGATTGAATGAAGAGCTGATCTCTGATTGAAAAGGTCGCAGAAAACTTACTGCAATCCTACTTCTAAAATCAACCGCCGTTTTGAATGCCTGATTACGTACGACGAATGAGCATTCGTATCAAAGGCCAGATCTCGGTAATGTTGAATCACTCGGTTGCCATAAATTTGTAACATAGCCATCGGAGGAGCAAACATCCATTGCCAAGATACTACAATCAGCACCCAAATCGGCAGCCTCTTTCCGCGTCTTAATGAAGAATGTTTGAAGTTTGCTTAAAATGTGAATCATTAATCACTCAATCCAAGTTCCCCTTGATTCCTTTATTTTGAACCTCTCATGCTTAGTGACCCCTCCTTCTTATCAGACAAATTCTGGTGACATCATTTAGATTTGAGTGTTTGACACACTTAACTCCAATCTGGTTTTTATAATTTTTTACAACGGTAACTCACCAGGTGTGACCCCCCGCCTGCTGTTCGGCTCTTCAGCATTTGCCATCAGGCAATAGTGGTTGTAACTTCAAGATATACCAACAATAAATCTTTTGGTGGACTGTGTCCTACCTTGTAAGTTTTAAATTATATGGAATTGAAATCCCTTCAAGGTAATAATCATATTTGCTTTAAGTTTATTTAGGAAAAAAAAAACTAGCAGGTGGACACTTACCTTTACACACCTCACAACTACAGCATTCAAAGGGTTTTTCTCAATTCAGGTTTGCTTTTTTTCATCTCCTCTTTGTCAAACTGTTCTCAAGATCAGATAATGATGATAATTTGACTGATAAAAATGACATTTTCAATCACTCTGACATAGATCAAAATATCAAAATCTCAGCTACAGCCTACCAAATAAAATCAAGTAAAAAATGGTTCAAATCCAAGCAGGAAAAGGCTTCACCACAGGGAAAACATCAGTGTTTTCTGGATACCTTTTACTGACACTATCACTCATTGTGATTTTTTCATATGTCTGTGAATCTACTGTCATTCCATCTAAAAGAGGTCTAACCAGGCGTCAAGGCAGCCAAAGACAAAGAGCTTCACCGAAAAATCAAAAGGCCAAAAAATTTGATCACCATCCTATTTGTAGAAATGGTCAGATTCCAATAACTGACCCAAAAACTGGAAAAAATAAAGGTTGTGAAGAGCCTCATGACCATGATTGAGGAAAAAATAATTTCAATCTGCAATTGTTCTGTGTACCTTGTTTTACTTTGATTGAGGAAAAAATAATTTCAATCTGCAATTGCTCTGTGTACCTTGTTTTACTTTTAAATTGCATAGTCTAGCTTAGAAGTTTTTTATTTTGGTGTTATAGTAAAAACAAAAAGAAAATTCACTGGACTAACAGGATATATTTTTAAATCAAGATTTCCCTTAGAATGCTTTTCAAGAATTAACCTTATCTAAATTATAAATGATTAGCCTCACAGAGCCAAACAAAACAAGTGACAACAATGTAGAGTAACACTGGTGCTATAGAACTACATTCAAAGTTTGTAAAAAGCTGAACTACAGATTTTATTGTTGGCATTGGGGGAAACTTTACCCCAATGCCAACAATAAAATGTGTATCTAAAGTTGGCCATCACTCATGAACCCACATGTACAATGTCCAGAATTGGAGGCAAATTAAAGCAACACTAAAAGGAAAAGCAAACTGATATGTACAGTCACCTGTGACCTACCAGATATTTATAGCGAGTTTGTTTGGATTAAACAACCCTAACCCACCTTCAATCACTGAAGACAAAAATATGAAAAGCTGATTTTTGAAATTTGCAAAAGAAAAGTTACAATTCTTGCACTTTTTTCAGAAGTTTCAATATTGCTCCAAATGGTCAAACATAAATTGGAAAGACTAGTATAGTATGCAAGAAGAATGATAATAAATGAAGAAAAAATCAACACCAGAAATCATTCAGAGCTCAGTATCCAGGTCAAAATGCAATTGGAATTTGATCACACTGCCTTTTCCACTGTGAGTCTGATGTATGCCTCACTGATCCACACCAGTTTAAAACCATCTGGTATTTATTTTTGTCAACATTTTCATCAACTATCATTCCTCCAGCATACCATACTCCAATTTCCAGTTTTTATTTTCTTTCATTTGGATCAATATTGAAAGTTCTGAAAAAAGTGCAATAATTGCAACATTTTCTACAAATTTCAAAAATCAGTTTTCCATTTTTTGTTTCCAGAATCATTTTTTGAAACTTATTTTATCAGTATGATTTCTGTGGTTTGGGGTTGTGTAATCCAAACAAACCGACTATAAACATCTGGTGGGTGACTGTACATACATCACATAAACTGATTCAAATATTCTCATCCTGTAAACAATACTCAAGATGAGATTTTGATAAACCTTACTACTATAGCTCATGAGACATGTGATCTGTTGAATTTCCATCTTACATGTCATTTATTTTTGCTTGATGTGCTCACACCTTCCACTCAGATGTCACAGGCTCCATGTTAAACCTCGGGCAAATGGTGTGGGAGGACTCTCTCCCCATCCTTCCATGACCATTTGGTTCAGGACTCCAGGTATGTAAATTTCCCAAGTCGTACATGTGTTTCATAAAAGACATATGCCAAAAAAAAACTAGCAAAACAACAACAATTGTGATTATCCATAATGATGACAAAAGGAAAGAAGACCATGACAAAAATAAATAAATAAATGCTTTGTCACTACAAAACCACAACACATAACACAACAAACACGTCATCGTATTTCTTCCCCTCAGAAACAAAAAAGAAGACACGACACAGGAGAAGGAGAGAATATGAGAACTAAACAATGTCCATAGCAACGCGCTCGTATCCATTACGAGTGCGACCATTGCTACTGCTACTTCTGCTACGACTGCCATTTGAAGATTTCTTATGAAGAGGGTCAAATTTGGAAGTAAAGGAGGAAGATTCTTTGGCTCGGATTTGGAAGCCACCTTCAGGGACCTATCAATCAATGTGAAAAAAGAAATTAATTAACAACAAGAGAAAAAAAGAAAGGGGAAGATTAGAGAAAAAAAAAGGGGAAGAATGAATTGACCTACCTCAAAGAGTTCAAGATAGTTAACCCCAAGATGGTTTCCAGCGGTCCAGAAATCAAGACAATTAGCTCGGATGCCCTTATGGAAAGGGTTGGAGGCTTTCTTTGATTTCTTGATGATCTGGGTGCCGTCGAGGAAGCGATCGAGGCCCAAGAGCTTGAGACAGAAGACGAAGGACTTCGGTTTGCGAGAGTGACTATGATTATGATGGTGATGGTTGAGAGAAGATTGTGCAGACGCATGATGGGCGTGGAGGTGGGAAGACTGGGCGGCCATCGACGTCCCCGCCTTCCCGCCCATGAATCCGAACCGGTTCACATTGCTCAGCTCGAACGTCGTCATCTGCCGGCTCACCATCCACAGCTGTGAGACCATCAACATTGTCGTCCATACTAGCTGCAATGTCGCCCAGATCACTATCGACAGCGTAAACGAATCAAAGGCCGCCAGCTGACATAACGTCTGCGAGATCGAGCACGAGGCTGGTAGCTGTCTCGAGTCTATCTTGGTCAGATCTGGCGCCGACGAAAAGTCTGCGAGACCCCGAATAAGAATTCACAGTCAGTTTTAAATCGAAGTTCGTGGACATGTATAGAAGTCTACTTGTTTTTATAAAATGAAAAACTCACAAATAAAGGCAAGGATATCAAACAAAGAAATTCCAATGATCAAAGTCCCAACAAAGACAAGAAACTGTCGATGATTACCAACTCCGACGCAATTCCAAACCCAAGGACAATGACTAGAAAAATAAGATGATCAACAATAAGTCAGAATCTATATGAATAAACAAAAATAATGTATCCAATGTGTCGATTAAGAAAAAAAGAAGAAAATGGGAAGTGAGGACTCAAACTGATCAAATTTTCCGATGCATCTTTGACAAATTTTACAATGTTTACTCCTCAACGGTTTTCGATTCTGACAAAATCAATGTTTATTTTATTTTTTTGATGAAAAGAAGGTCAATGGGGTGTTCAGACTTACAGTATGGCAATGATGATGATGCTGATGAGGATTGAACTAACCTCACAAGAGATACAAAAATTCATGCCATCAAATATTGAACGTTCAACCAATCCTTCGATAATCTGTACACATAAATCCCCACGGCAAAGTTTATAAGGATTATGATAGAATTCCTGGAGTTATCTGAAAGAGGACGACTAAGGGAGAGACGCACAGTTTTGCGATCGAGAGGGTTTCGAGGCAGAGGTATATATCCTGGATCTAGAGTGATCGCTCGGACAAAGTTGTATACACAGATTAAGCTGGAGAGGATGAAGAATAGATTAAGTGATGGATGATCTTGAGTGTCTACAGTTTCAAGAAAAAAAACCCAAGTGAGTATTTTTTGTGGCTGATAGGAATGATAAATGTTTTGAGAAAAGAAGGGGAGACTGACGTGGTAAGAGATGGGCGATCCAGGCGTAACCGACCCAGAAGAAACTAGCAACGATGATGGTAGAAAAGTAAGGACTTGAGGTGATGATTTCGGATGGTCTACCGGGACTGCGATGGTTGGCGTCGAGGATGGTATTGGAGATGATGTGATGGGCGCCGTAGGCTTGGGCAAGCGAGATGATGATCGAGGAGTAATAGGGCAAGGAGGATAAGGTCTGGAAGGCCAAGCCGAAGCAGATGATGGTGAAGAGGAACATGATCGTCTTCATCTTGAGGCCGTTGCCTAATGGTAGGATTCGCTTGGTTCCATTTGAGTTCATTCCGGCCTCTGAGAGGCCTCTACTCCAGGCGAAGGTTGACTTGAGTTCGACAGCCATCTCCTGCGGTGTTTTCCCCTCAATCGTCCGTGCTAAGACATCAGCGCCGGCCAGGACGATCTGGCGGATGCAGGTCGAGTTCCCCTTGACAACGGCCCAATGGAGTGGGGTCATCCCGTTGAGGTCCCGGGCTGAGACGGAGGCGCGGTGTGAGAGGAGTAGGTCAACCGACAGACTGTCGCCCTGGTAGGATGCCCAGTGTAAGGCCGTATGTCCTTCCCGGTCTGCAGAGTCCAGACTGATCTTGTCGTAGGCGCAGGCGAGCAGGTAGCAGAGTGTCAGGGCTGAGCTGGAGTGGGTGGCCAGATGGAGGGTGTTGAAGGCTTGCGAATCCACCAGGGTTGGGTCGGCGCCATGCTTGAGAAGTAAGTGGACGATCTGTACCCGGCCATTCCTTGCTGCCCACATGAGCGGGGTTGCCAGGAGTTGTCCTCCAAATGCATCTACTACTGCCCCGCGCGCGATCAGTAGCGCCGAAAGGTTGAGATGGCCATTGATGGCTGACCAATGGAGTGCTGTGATCTGTTGCTGGTCAACATCGGTGGGATGAGCTAAGCCTGAGTCTAGTAGTTGTTTGACTGCCTCTGTATCACCTCGTTGGGCGGCCAGATGGAGTGGACTTGGTGGTGGCTCGGTTGGTGGTTCTGGAAAGCTGAATTCTTCTCTGATAGTCTTGGTATGTTCAGTAGCGGTTGATGATGGTGGTTCAGGTAATGTGGCATTAGTTGAGCCAGTGGTAGTCTGAGTGAATGTTGCTGTTGCTTGAGTGGTGGTGGAGATGGTTAGTGCTTGGTTGGACTCCAAGGGTTGTCGGCCTTAAATTGTTGAAAAGAATGAGTTGGAGAAACACATGTCAATCTTGTCTGATGAAGAGACAGTATGTTTTTTTTCGGTTGAGCAAAGTGCAAAAGACTGACCCATCAACTTATTTCCAGATTTCTTTCTTTCTCCTCTCTCATTCGGTGTCAGAGACTTGGATCTTTCTTCCTCCTCTTTCGCTTTTTTGAGCTGGTTCTGCTCATTAAACTTTGCCCTTCGGATTGGAGAAATTTCTTTGTTGATTGGTGTGCCTTTCTTGCGAGCGGCCTCTGCCTAAAAACCATAACAGTCCGATTAGATGGTTTTGATCAGGATGAACGACGATGACGATTCAGTCAAGTATAAACCATTAGATAACTAAACACATACTTCTTCGGCTTTTTTGATCTCCTCTTTTTCCAAGTGCACGACTTCAGCAGCCCGCTCAGACAAAATTTGGGCGAGTGCCTGTTGCAGAGCAAGCGAAAGAGTGAAGATCATAGCCGTTCCGAGTGATTCACGACCCTACTTAGAATCAGTTTGGTATAAGTTTGTTCCGTTGTCAGATCGGATCTAGGCGAAAGACATCTTCCATCGAACATGAAACAAAGACTGACTGCCTCCTTGAGCATTTCGACCGTAGATTCCAATTCTAGTTCGCTGAGTTCACCTTCAACGGGCTCGATAACGATATCCGGCAATTCATCCGGGTATTTCTCGGTGTATTTGATTTTCAGGTTCACAGTGACTGATGGGGCAGGTGATCAAATGAATCCAGATATGAGTGGTGCTTCGTGCTTCCCCCACTTCGGTTCTAGAGAACATCGACCTGTACGTACGAGGATTGGAGGGTGAGGGCTCCTTGGGCCCAGTCCTTAGAATCACCTGGTCATCGGATTCAACTGGATTTCCTCGAAGAAATTGCGGATGTCCCCCACAGAAATTGGAAGCAAACGTATCCGTTAGTACAGATCCTGAAGATACCGAGAAACAATTGTCTTACTTACAGGACAAGTCTCCAAAGATTGATTGAAGTACTTCGATTTCCTCTTTCCGCTGTTCGAGGTATTGATCTGCGCGATTCGAAAGGGAAGGGTCAGTGCGACCAACGATGGCCGACTTTCTGATTTGACCAGGATGGTATTCAGTTGTTGAGGGAGCTCACCTGACATGGGATGACGGCCAAAGTTTGATCAAGTCGGGATAAGAACACTGTGGTTGAAGTATCGAGACACGCCTATCTGGACGCAAGTCCCCCCTGGTGGGAGCTTTGGCCTGTGTGGCGCTGCCGGTGGGCAAGCCGGGGTCCCCCCGACCCTCCGTTCGAGGGGATGCAGACTGCAGCGGGAGCACCAACCAGTTTATTTTATTAAAGGTCTCAACTACAAATACAAGTCCCAATCTCCACATCTCAGTCATCAGCTAATAAGATGTGATGATATTGCCAGACTTCAAGCTTGCTCACAAATATGCATTTTTGATCAAAAAAAGCAAAGATGTATCATGCCAGGAGTCGTTTTATCTGGTCTAGGGTTACCACCAAAAACTGAATTTACACTCCCATCAACTTATTCCTATTTCAGCTAGGAAGTAAAAATGTAATCACAGGCTAAGAAGAAAGACCACAGAACCAAATTTTAAAAAAAAACAGTTAAAGATCCCCTAGAAAACAAACCCTTAACAGCTGAAATATGGGCTGACTTTTTCTTGCAGGGGCGGTGAAGACTCAGTAAAGAATAAATGATTTTCCAAGACATGAAAAGACGATTGAATGACAAATACCTTTGCAGGCTTTTTTAATAACTATCATCCTCCATTTGAATGGTAGATGGTTTTTATAGAGGTTCATTGAGTTCCTTCTGTGAGATGGAATACATATTTCAAGGCCACAAGTCAACTACCATGGAAAATGATGAGTTGCTGGTGTTGAGAGGGGAGAGGAGGGAGTGTAAGAGCTGTGAATGCTCTTCACTGATGCTCTTAGAGATTGGTCGGAACAAGTCCTTTTGCCTTGGAGAGAACTTCTAGTACCATGGTCAATTTAATTACTAGCATTGGTAGGAGGAAGAACTCTCTGTAAGTACAACTAGAGTTCTGAGAACAGGGAAGAGAAGAATAGAGAAAGAAGAGATGGAAGACCTACCTAGAATCAGTAGGAGGAAGAACTCTACCAAGCTAGGAAGGGGAAGGGAAGTCAAGACTAAATACAAGGCAGAACTATGCTTATGTAATCTTGTGACAGGTTTGTGTAAGCCTGTGAGGAGCAGGGCTTACAAGGAGGTGGTGCTACTGTTGAATAAAATTGACGACATTTTCTGGAATACTGACTGGATGACATTCCTTTGGGCATTTAATGAAAGTTGGGGGATTTGCCCTGTGATAGTAAGTCAGTTTGTTCAACACTGGTTATACCCTGAAGCATTAAGATAGATGGAAGTTTGTCAATTTGATCGTGATTTATGTTTTGAATGGTTAGAAATCTGATGGAGCACACAGTCACAAGAATATTGGAAGGATTGGGTGGGAAGCATTCAAGTGAGGGAAAAATAAAAGTGAGGATGTGGTGAGTTAGATGCTGGGATAGCTATTAGAGGTGTGTTGAATGGGAGGTGTTTATGCTTCCTGGATCTATATATAGCATGAAAGTTTAAAAACAAGCTCCAAATTGAGGGCAACACTAGATTCCACCTTCAGATTCAGAGAACAAGATTGTTGGTTCACATTGATTGCTGATTTTTTTTTTTACCCAGCCTTTTGGTGTCAGCCTTAGAGCCAGCCAAGCTGGCCAAAAGACTGCCCAAACTGCCCATTTCTATTCCAAACATTATCTTATCTTTTTCATCTTAAGACTTTTTACCTTTCTGACTTCAGAAATGGATTCCTGGTGTAAAATTAACCCTAGTCACCACTGATCACTTTTACCCAACTCCATTCCTTCATTGACTTTGTAATAATTCACAGTACTCCAAGAATTATTCCAACCTTTAGGTTTCAGCTCCCTCTACCACATGTACATGCCAGATTAAATAATCCAACTTTGAAAATCCTCTCTGAGCTTGTTGATTCCGCTTCCAGAGGATTTTCAGACTCCAGACCACCCAGAAACCACAACAACCAGTACCAGATCCAGCCTACACTTATCAACCAGAAGAACCTTACTTTTCCTGCCTTTCCCACTACTCAGTGTCATTGGTGTCATCATTAAGTTACTTCTTTAAGTCCAGCTAGCATCTTTCTGCTTGTTTTCTTTCTCTGTCACTCTCACCTTTTTCTCTTCCTTCTCTAAACCAAAAGCCCTGATCAACCAAAGCTCCACTAGCTTCAAAGATTCTTCTCTTTTCTTGTTTGGTAGTAAAACTGAAAACTACATAGGTTTCCCTTTAAAGAACCTTGATCATCCTTGATCTAAAAAATTGTGGTTGACCTGATTTATCAGAGTCAATAACCCATTTCAGTTTCCTTTGATTTGGAGGCGTAGAGTTAGCTCCGCTCATAACAGCTACCCTCAGAGGAAATAAGACTGTCAGAATCTAAATAATCTCAACAAAATAAATAAATAACAAAAAGATTATTCATTTCTATTCCTTCTCTTCCTTCTCTCTCTCCTGATCTTATTGTATTTCTTTCCTCTTAAGAATACATATAAGATTGCCCCCCAACACCTTGTGTCTTGCTGTCACTATTGAGACCCAGGCTCACATTTGGTGTGAAGCCT